ACAGAACTTCCTTCAGGACAGTCTCATTCGGGTCAGCGCCCTTCAAAACCTGGAAACACCTGGTGCTCAGGATCTGCTGGAGTTTACCATCAGGTTCGAACCTTTAATGCACTACAACTATATTAATTTAAGGTCTTTTAATAAAGTGTTTGTTAAGATGATTTTGATTTGTGTCACATACAGAGATCTGCAGCGGTTGGGGGAGCTGCAGACGGAGTTGGCTGGATCTGCAGATTTCTGTGCCACATACCTGCACTGCCAGCTGTTGCTTACCAAAGTGAATACAGATATAATACACTGCTAGTACTTCATTAGCACAACTCCTGTTTTCTAAAGAAAATGTAAAAACCTAGTAATTATTATTGTTGCTGAATATAATTACATACACTACCATTCAAATGTTGGGAGTTAGTAGGATATTTTTTTTTATTTAACAAGGATGCATTAAATTGATTAGAAGTTACCGTAAAAACATTTATGATGGTACAAATGATTCCTATTTTAAATAAATGTTCTTTTGAACATTCTATATTTATCAAAGAATTCTGAAAAAATGCATCACAAATGATGCTGAAAATTCAACTTTGCATCAAAAGAATAAATTACATTTTAAAATGTATTAAAATAGAAAGCAGCAATTTTAAATTACAATATCATCTCACAATATTAAATTTTTTTCTGTATTTTTGATCAAATAAATGCAGCCTAGATGAGCATAAGAGACTTAAAACATGAAAAAATTTTTACCGACCACAGACCTTTGAACGCTTTTGTAAACCCTTGTAACTGTATTGATAAAATAAGGCATATTATCCATAACTTTTATTGTTTCTTTTAAACCCAGGCACTTCAGGAGAAGTTATGGACCATGGCTGTGCCGCTTTGTCTTAAACAGAACGCCAAAGTTTCAACAGCCGCTCGACAGGTATGTCTTACCGAAATTAATTTGAACCTGAGCCATCCCACCAAACTTTACCAAAAATCCTTTGTAATGTGTGACAGATCCTGGATGAGACCTATAAGCTGGAGTTCTTGTACAGCGGTCTGGAGACGCAGCAGATCGCCACTTTTCACAACGTCCGGCTGCAGGCGAAAGCGTTACAGCTCATCCTGACGGCCCGATCCAAACGAGGGTCAGCACTTACTAATAAACTTTTATGATGCAAGAAAATCTCAAAGTCTTGAAACTGATCATATTTCTTCTTCCAAATAACAGGGTTGACTGTGTTCTTGGTGTTTGTGAGAAGTTCCTGCAGGATGTGGAGTCATTTCAGAGGTAAACACAGTCAAAGAGGATGTGTAATACATGCATAAGATCTCAATCTAAATGCTGATATGTATGAACAATCATTGAATGTTCTTGTCTTTCCATTCTCAGACTCTTCATGACCGAGTTGCCCCATTTCCAGGACAGTTTTGTGGAGAAACTCCTGGAGTTGATGCCCAGGCTGACGGCCTGCAAGCCTCTAGATCTGGTTAAAATCCTTCAGACCACACTGCGGCAAAGCAGATTCATCCATCTCAAACTACCCGAGCAGGTTTGTGGATTCTGACACACAAACAGCTTCAGGAAGTTCTAGATTGTTTGTTTCCAAATGTTTGTTGGAATATCTCTTTTTCTGTTTATTTTGGTTTGTCAGATCCACAGAGCGTCAGCGACAATTATTGAGCCGACAGGAGAATCAGACAACCCTTTGAGATTCACCTCTGGGCTGGTAGTGGCGTTAGACATCGATGCTACTCTTGAACACGTACGAGATCCACAGACAACAGTCAAAGTGCAGGTCAGAGGTTTTCAGTTAAATAAAAAAAAACAAAAAACTTTCCAACCATTTGTAGACACGTTTCCCCATCCAGTCAATTCCTGATTGATGCATTTAAATCCCAACCTATGCATGCTAAGGTCATAGGTTTGATTCCCATTGAATGCATGAAAGGATAAAACTTTTACCTGAATGCATTCACTTTGGATAAAAGCATCTGCCAGTTGCTTAAATGTTAGTATTCCTTCATTGAAAATTGTGTTTTGTGCATAAAATGAGCCATTTTATGAAAGTGAAAAAGTGAAAGTGACGTGACATGTGGCCAAGTATGGTGACCCATACTCGGAATTAGTGCTCTGCATTTACCCATCCAAAGTGCACACACATAGCAGTGAACACACACACCGTGAACACACACCCGGAGCAGTGGGCAGCCTTTTTTTTGGGGGGGTTCGGTGCCTTGCTCAAGGGCACCTCAGTCGTGGTATTGAAGGTGGGAGAGAGCGCTGTACATTCACTCCCCCCACCTACAATCCCTGCCGGTACGAGACTCGAACCCGCAACCTTTGGGTTACGAGTCCGACTCTCTAACCATTAGGCCACGACTTCCCCATCTAAATGCTTTTATATTGGCTTTAAATCTGTTTAATAAAATCTTTGAGCAATTGATGCACATTATTCATTTTTTCTTCATCGTCCCACAGGTGCTGTATCCAGATGGACAGTGTCACATAATCCACCCCAAACCTGGAGATTTCAGGACCCCAGGACCTGGACGTGTGCGAATGATCACGCAGGTTTATCTCTCTCACTCTGCCTGGACAGGTACGTGTCCTTTCTGAAATGTGCTTTAATAGACACGTGCACATCAAGACATCAGTTGTATATTTTTGGTTGAGGATTATTATGCAGTAGCTATTCTTTGTATTTTGTCCTTGAATAAAATAATGTTGCAAACACCATGACAAATCCTTCTCTGCTGGCAGCGAACAGCATGAACCCTTCACAGTTCCACAGATATAAATAGAACTGCATCCAGTCCAACAAGGCATGAGTTATTTTATATCTGTGAGTGTCTGTGTGAGCAGCAGAATACTGAGGCTGAATACATTTCTGCCTTGGAGAAAATCAAAATTGATGTTTTTTTAAAAATACATTTTCCTGTCCTTATGGACCTTTTTCACATTTCCAGGGTTTTCAGAAGCGCAAGTCATCATTGTTGTGTAATATAGTGGTGAACAGAAACCGCAACAAATATAATTTTTGCATTTCCACTTTTCCACCATAGTGAAAGAAAAAAATCCACGATAGCATTTCTATGACCTTACAAAAATAGGAAAAGGTCAGAAAAGAGAAAGCAGCTGTTGTTATAGAAACACTTTCTGTAATTTAATGCCAATGTAAGAAAACACAAAGTATAGTATTATAAATGTATATTATTTAAAAAAAAATTAAATATAAATAACTTTTAAAATTTACGATGTTAATAATTGTGGAAATGTGGCATCACAGTCTGTGAGAAGGGTGCATTTTGCACAAGTCATCAGTGCTTGTTATTCAAAATAAAAAAATATTATTTATAATCTTTATTATTATTATTTTCATTTTCACTAAATATTTGCATGGAAATTACAAATTTAGGATTATGCTGAAAAAAGATTTTCATATACTACACTAACCAAAATACCTTGAAGTACCATGTAAAAACCATAGTACTTTAACGTGTACATTTCTATCATAGTAGTACCATCTGATACCATTCCAGTCATTTTTATAAGAGAACAATCACAGCATAAAGTAGAATGTAATCTAAAGTGCATCACACATTTTTGTGTTCTTATTTTTTTATGTTTAACTAAAATCATAAAAAAAAACATTTGGTTACTTGAAAGTAAATAAACTACAGAAATAAAATAAAATGTTAAAAAACGTAAACTTATTTTATTTCAGCTAGTTGCCAATGCAACATTTTTCATTTTTATTTAGTTTAACTTCATGTACTAAAGTAACAAACTAAAACTGAAATAAAAATGAATAAAAAATTATATAGACATATTAAAAAAAGAGACAAAAACGCAAAAAAATCTTCAAACTTTAATATTAAAATGAAAAGAGAAAATATAAAAATAAAAACTATTATTGAAAACTATAATAGTATTAAAATAGTGCTACTAAAATAACACTGGTGTTTTTACTTTCAGAGGCCTGTCAGATTGAGGTGCGGTTGCTCCTGGCCTACAGCTCCAGCAGCAGTAAACCATCTGCATCTAAACCTGCGTGGAACGAGAGTATGGACGGCCTGCCCACCAGCGAGAGCTGCATCGAGGGCACAATCCACCTCAGCAAACCTGTCAAAGTCTTCATCATGCCCAAACCAGCTCGCCGCTGACCCGAGGAATCCAGGCAGTATATATGTGAAATTAACAGCCAACACAAAATCAAGTGTTTTCACAATTATGTTTTATCTGAAATAAATGTTTTTTTTTTTTTGTTGTTGTTCAGTTGTATCACTGTTGTGTGTGTGATAATGGGGTATTTTCACAGCCTACATTCAAAGAATAATCATTTAATGATTATAAAGCAAATAACATTTTCACCAAAGGAAAAAAATCCTCCAGTAGTTTAGAGTGCAAATTAAGAAGCATATACTAAGAAAACAATGTTCATTTGTAATGTAAGGAACTTTAAACAACCAATTAAATGAATTAGCTGATTATTTTAATGATGTGATCAGCAGGTGGAGTGGAAGACCCCGCCGACTTTAGCTCCCTGTCCCACCAGAGCATTATATTCTGTAACGGCCTGCTCGGTCTGAAACACCCTGACATCAACACCCTGCTTCTTCACGTAATCTAGGGTGGATGGAGGCACCTGAAACATTAAAAAAAAGCAGATTAGCTTATTTAAAGTAATATTGCTGAATCTGCTGAAAATGTTCTCACCAGAACATCAGAATTTGTTTCTTCATCAGAAAAGATTTGGAGAAATGTAGCATTGCATCACTTGCTCACCAATGGATGCTCTGCAGTGAATGGGTGCCGTCAGAATGAGAGTCACAACAGCTGATAAAAACATCACAATAATCCACAAGTAATCCACACCACTCCAGTCCATCGATTAACATCTCGAGAAGTCAAAAGCTATGTGTATGTAAGAAAGAAATTTATCATTAAGATGTTTTAACTTTTAACTGTCGCTTCTGGGTAAAATATGAGTCCATAATCCATAATAATGCTTCCTCCAGTGAAAAAGTCATCTTGTCTGAATCAGGAGAGAAATATGTACAGATTAAACACCATTTACTAGTGAAAACAGTTCTAAACAAATATGTCGGTGGATCTGAGAGGACAACAAGGGATGGACTTTTTCACCGGAGGAAGTGTTATTATGGATTATGGACTCATATTTTAGCCAGAAGTGACGGTTTGAAGTTAGAAATGTCTTGATGGATTTGTTTCTTTCAAACGCACAGCTTTTCTCTTCACAAGACATTAACTGATGGACTGGAGTGGTGTGGGTTATTGTGATGTTTTTATCAGCTGTTTGGACTCTCATTCTGACGGCACCCATTCACTGCAGAGCATCCATTGCTGAGCAAGTGATGCAATGCTACATTTCTCCAAATCTGATGAAGAAACAAACTCATCTACATCTTGGATGGCCTGAAGGTGAGTAAATGTTCAGCAAATTTTAATTTTTGGGTAAACCGTTCCTTTAAGGATTGCAATATTCAGATGATGGACAGTGCTGATCAGCAAATTCACATTGTTACCTGTAGAGCTTCACTCATCCCTCTTCCTATGACCAGCGTCTGCACTCCTTTCCTCAGGACCTCTTCCAGGTCGGCTGGCTGGACGCCTGGATAATGCTGGCAGGAGCACAGATGCACTTTAGACAGAAGAACTCTAATAAATAACATTGAAAGCAGACTGGTTCAAATACAAGATAATATGTTGAACATTTTGGTCACTACTAGAGAGTTCCCATACTTCTATTTTTGTTATTTCATAGTTTTAAAAGCATTACTATTATTCTATAATGTAGAAAATAGTAATAAAACAATAAGTAGATGCATCTTGCTACTATGCACTGACAAATCAAAGAATGTAAATTATATTAGGCATTGCTGTAATGTTAAGGGTAAATGGCTCAAACGCATTGCAATGTTTATGACAATATCAAATTATAAGAAGATAATGCCATAAGTTGAGGATGATTTTACAGTGTGATCTGGTGTTCATCTTACATCTGTGCCGGTTTCACGCCAGTCCCAGGCTCGGCTGCCACCCGGCCACACTTTACAGTCTTTGTAGGATGTGGAGCAACCTTTGACCTTCATGTGGCCCCAGGATAAAGAAGCAATTTCTGGAGAAGACATGATCAGCTTTCCTGTAAGAGAGTGGAAGACAAATCACATGCATTTTATTAAGTACCATGCTATTTTTAAAGATCCTTGGGAGTGCCATGTAAATACAGTAGTACATGAATATGTTAAAACTTCAGTATTGTGGTATTACTATTTGGCACCATCAATGTACTTTGTTGCAACTTTTTAAAAACATTTTATTAATCTAAAATACAATTTAGAAACGATTAGCCCAGCTTCGAAGCACTAGTACATGCATACAACAAAACCTGCCTTATCTGCTATAAACGAGGTTTTTATTCATGCAAAAAATTATATTCGTAACAAAAACAACTTTATAATTCATGCACTATAAATGTATTTCATTTATATTATATAATCTTGCCTCGGCCTGCAACTCAATCTTGCTTGTGTTGTGTTTCTCTTCGTGTGACGGCGGGACACACCCACCACGCACGTCACTGGCCAGCGTCAAATCAGCGTACGCTTCAGCACTTTACGTTGATTGGCTGCCGTTCAGTGACGTACAAAAAGCTGGAGTCAGTCAACGGCATGGCACTCATCCTCTCAACTGACCTGCCACGGCATATTAAATATTATTATATATCAGGAGAATTGCATATGTAAACGTCATATCAGAAGTACTGTTATTGAATAAATAAAATATGTAAGAATATTGTATTATATGGTTATAATCAATTAATAGAATGTTTATTGTTGTTATTAAAAATATTATCTATATTTGCATTTATGTATAGTTTAATTATTCATCCCGGTAATGAATAAACACACAATATGTTTATAATAGAAAAATGTCTGTGGAAATAAGTGTGACATGTTATATTGTGTTGTTATCAAAGTTAAAAAAAAACTGTTTTTTTTTTTACATTTACATTTAAATATAATGTATTTATTTAACTATTCATCCCGATCATGGATAAACACGAATAAACGACGCTTTTTCTATTACAAAAGAGTCAGTGGGAAAAAAAAACTGTGGCATGTTAAAGCAGCACTTCATGATCTTCATCATCTCTTTATTGTTGTGATGATGAGGATGATGGCGGCGGCATTGTAGATGCCCCTCTGGATGATGCTCTGGGTGGGTGTCGCGGTGTATTGTGGGCAGTTTTGGGTCTAAGCAGAGCACAGCTCGTCATCTCCAGGAAAGATGGCTGCTCCGGGCTCCACAGCGGCTCTTCCTCCAGATGTCAGTCCCGGTTTTGCGGTGGTCTGCTCGTTTTTGGAGCGCTACGGGTCTGTTCTGGATCTGCCCGAGCTGTCGTTCCCCCAGCTGGAGCGGTACTTACAGGAGACATCAGCGGGTGAGCTGTGCGAGAGGCTGGGTTTGTGTTTATTTGGACAGGCTCCTCATCTTTACCCATCAGGGGTTTGGTCACTTAAAGTTTGGCTTGTTGGGTCCCCGATGCTTTTCAAACGGAATGTGAAGTGGCGACGTGTTTTTGAAAGCAGTCATGTGTGATTTTTCCACCCTTAACCTCAACATTTTAAGATTAATCTTAGAATATCATTGACTGTGCGCACCGCTAAAGGTGTTAGCACGCTGTTGGTCACAATTAAATGGAGAGACACTTCGATAAACTGGCCTGATACATTTACATTCAGATTATAAACACAGATGGGACCGTAGCCGCACAGTGCGCATGCGCTGGCCGCTGTCAAACTTCCTATGTTACAATATAACGATTGTATAATAATAGTACCGCTGCACAGATTTGTTTACGCGCGATTGTTTACGCCCCGCCCCCTTTGAGTACTGTATTGTGTACACGTAGGTGTCGTATAACAATAGCTGAATGCGAGCTCCACCACACTAATGTTGTCATTTAGGAGAATTGCATATGTAAATGTCACCGCAGAATTATTGGTCTTCATGCTCTGACATCGCTGACAGCGGATTGGATGGATTTGATAATACTGTATAGTAATGAGAGGGATGTGTTTTAAAAAGCATTTATTTAAATGAATAAATAAAAGGGGTAAACAATAATGAGCATAAATAAATGCTGTTATATACATATACATGAGTTATATACAAACATAAATAATAAAATAATTACGGTGGTCCACATAAAAGTGTTTGGTCATATAAAAATGTCTGAATGTGATTGCATTAGTTAAGTTAATATCAAAGGTGTCGCAAGCATGTTTTTCCCCCACCAACAGAAGTTTCATGGTAATGTTACAAATGATAAAATAATATAAATTCTGATTTCTGTACAATTTAGTTCCTCGGCCGTTGATTGAGCTCCATGTCAAACTACTGCGGAAGATCGGCAAGTCGGTCACACCAGACAGATGGGAGAAGTATCTTGTAAAGGTAAGTGTTTTAGTTTTAAATCATATGCTATGAATATGTAAATGCCCATGCAAATGCATCTGTTTGTTGAAATCATGTTGATGCAGGTGTGCCAGGAATTTAACAGCACCTGGGCATGGGAAATGGAGAGAAAAAGCTACCTGGAAATGACGGTAGCGTGTAAGACTGGCATTTTAAAGGTCAGTATTTTCAAAGCAACTTATTTTCTGTTCTCAAGCAATAGAGTTTGACTTGTTTTGATGGCGATATTACTTAATAAAGTTGTATTGCTTCTAATGAAATCTGTCGAGAATGTGTCTACGTCAAATTTAAACCCAAAATCAATTGTGACTGAGATTCACCTTTATTCCTTATTTCTCTAACAGTACTTGTGCGAGTGCCAGTTTGACGACAATCTCAAGTTTAAGACATTAATCAACGAGGAAGACCCGGACAAGATGCGTCTACAGCCCATCGGTAGAGACAAGGAAGGTCTTCTCTACTGGTTCCAGTTAGATCAAGATCAGAATATACGTGTTTATTCTGAGGAACAGGATGATTTGGATGGGTCCTCATGGAAATGCATTGCGAGGTGAGCAAATAGTGGGGAGAAGACCAGAATGTTGAGAGAATTTTGATGAACATTACAGCTCATTCATGGACTACATTTTAACATTATTTGTGTTCCCTCAAAAGCTTAAAGGAACACTCCACTATTTTTGAAAATAGGCTAATTTTCCAACTCCCCTAGAGTTAAACAGTTGAGTTTTACCGTTTTCGAATCCATTCAGCTGATCTCCGGGTCTGGCGGTAGCACTTTTAGCTGTAGCTTAGCATAGATCATTGAATCTGATTAGACCGTTAGCATCTCACTCAAAAATGACCAAAGAGTTTCTATATTTTTCCTATTTAAAATGTGACTCTTCTGTAGTTACATTGTGTACTAAGACCGACGGAAAATGAAAAGTTGCGATTTTCTAGGGCGCTATGGCTAGAAAGGGGAGTTGGAAAATGAGCCTATTTTCAAAAAAAGTGGAGTGTTCCTTTAAAAGAACAGGTCATTTCTGTCATGCTGCGTACCAGCATCGGTTGGGGGAGTGTGTCTAACACTGGGTGATGGCCTTGATGGCCCTGTGACAGTCAAGCGTCTTAGCTGCGTAATATCATTGCGCCTGCTGCACCCATGGTACGGCAGCAATGTTCCTTGATTATTAAGCCGGAATCAGAGTACAGTTCCTAGCCATATCGGCCTAGAAAATCGCAACTTTTCATTTTCTGTCGGTCTTGCTACACGATGTAACTACAGAAGAGTAAAAATATAGAAACTCTTTGGTCATTTTTGAGCGAGATGCTAACGGTCTAATCAAATTCAATGATCTATGCTAAGCTACAGCTAAAAGTGCTACCGCCAGACCCGGAGATCAGCTGAATGGATTCGAAAACGGTAAAACTCAACTGTTTAACTCTAGGGGAGTTGGAAAATTAGCCTATTTTCAAAAATAGTGGAGTGTTCCTTTAACCTTGTTATACTAGTATACAAGTTAAGTATAAGAGTGAAATCTCATTTAATGAAGTTTATCAAAGAAAAGAAATGCATTTTTTTCCCAACAGGACTAGGAATGATCTTGCAGACACACTAGAACAGCTTAAAGCCAAGATCGACCCAGCCGCGACGGACCAAGAGAAGCAAGACTGTCCCACCAGCCCAAGTTTGGAGAAAGCAGGTGTTAAAGGTAAAACTCGTTGGAAAATAATTTCCATTCAGGGCTGTAAGCACCATAGACATTGAGAGGAAGGAGTCTCACACAGTATCCAGACTAGTGGTCAACCGCTGTGGTTTTCCAGTGGCTGATTCTGAATCGTGAATGTGTAGTTACAGCCATACTCTCACTTATAGAGGTTGAAGCTAAACCGCTTCTCATGTACTTCTGTTTTGTTTCATTTTCAAGGTGAGGCTGAAGACTTGAAGAACCATATATCCGGACAAGGACATTTTACCAACAGCACCTTCAATTCCAATGAGAGTGAGTTAATTCCTAAAGACATTAAGAAAGAACCAACGGATCCCATTAAACCAGAGCAAGAAGAGAAAGTTGCAGAAATTCTTAAACCCAAAGTTGTCATTGACAACAGGGTTAGTACGATCAAAACTCTCGTCAAAGAAGAACCAAAAGATTGTCCCAAACCATGGAACGCCATTTCCGTCGTCATGCCCACTGCTTCCGTCAAACACGACCCAGCGGTGAAATCAGAGGCGCACGAAGACAAGAAAGAGCTGGTGTTTGAGAACGTGACTAGAGCTATAAAGAGCGACCAACAGGCTAAAATACCACTGAAGAAGAGGGAGTTGAAAAGGAGTGGAGGATATGATGTCAGCAATCACTACAGCAGCGTCAATCACAACAACAACAACCTTAACAGCAACGGTAGCATCAGCACAGGAGGTATAATCGTTCGCAATCCTGCTGTCTTGCTATTGAAGGAGCAGCAAATCGGCAGAGAATACCCAAATGTTGGGGAGAAAGGACCGACGGCCATCATCCCTGTCCCACAAGAGCCAAAGGTTGACCAAATGGCAGCACGGGAACAATACATAGGTGTTATCAAAGGTCCCATTGAGCGTAAAAAGCCATTGAATGAAAACGATAATTCTTCAAATGGTCATCATGGAAATGGGAATGTCTTGAAGACTGAAGTTGGAGGCACAGATAGTGTAAGACAGTCTGTCCTTGTTGGGAAATCCATGATTCAAGCAGACAACGGTCCTCTTCCTTGTAGCATCCCTGAGGGTTTGTCAAAAGATGTTTGCGGTAAGAGCCCAGATGTGTCTGCGAAAGTGGAGAACCTTGTTGAGGAGTCGCCAATGACTGAAGAGACCACTTCAGTTGAGGAAAAGCTGGAAAAAGCTGACAACGAAGAAGATGAACTCGAAAGCAAGACGGCTGGTTTGTCAGCTGGAGAAAAAACTGATGTTGTGGTTGAGTATGTCAGCAAAGACAAAAGTCTGAAAAGCCCAAGAAAGAGACGGTTACAAAAGACCAAATCCAAGCTGCAAGTAAGAAAAGATGGGCAAAACGCATCCAGCATTGGAGAGGTTTTGGAAAAGGGTGCTGAAAAAATTGGACGCGACGATGACGAAGAAGTATCGTCAGAACTTCAGAAGGAAGGGATTCGCCTGAAGATTAAGATCCCGCTTCATAGACGAACGCCTGGACTCCAGCACAGGGATGTTGAAGAATCGGAAACCAGCAATCGGAGATCACTGCGGAGATCTGCCAGAATCTGCAAGCCCAGCCCCAAAGTGGCAGATAGTCGGGACAGG